GATAAATAATACTCTGATGAAACAGTATATCTGTTCACATCGCTGACAATGATTTGTGATATGATCTTATCTTATCTTATTGGTAAGTGAAGCCAAAGGAAAGACATTCAGGCAAAAGTAATATTCTATTCTATTCTGTTCATTTACATTTTACATTTTAGTCATTTAGCAGACGCTCTTATCCAGAGCGACTTATAGTTAGTTCATATCAGTGAATAGGGTCTATACTGACACACACAAAAACAATAAAGATTATCTATTATGATTTTACAGTAAATGTGATCCCATAGTTAAAGGAAACACTTTGCTTCATGGGTTGGACTTGGACTTTGAATGGGTGTAGTGCAATAAATGGAACATGCAGAAATGCCCAACTTGCACAGGCCTTCTCAGAATCACTTCTGCTGTTAAATTGGAATAGTAAGTAAATACATAGTTCCCATTTCGGCTCGTTTTAAAAGCGGCAATAAAAGAGAGCAGGAGGAAAAGAGGAAGTTATGCAGATTTTCATAACTGCACTCCACGTTCAATCTTACCTCACCTCTCAGAGATGGGGTTGTTCACATGAAACATCAGGCTATTTACACACACACACACACACACACACACACACACACACACACACACACACACACACACACACACACACACACACACACACAGACTGTACAGTTAATGAAGCATGACAATAGAAGGAGTATTGGAGTCGGGTAGATACTCACGGCTGTGCGTTGACAGATTCTCCCCTTGCCAGGTAGTTATTTGGCACAATCCCCGTCGCCAAAACGCGCCCATTCCTGTCTATTTTACGCGCAGTCCACCAATCTCCGGATCGACTGATCACGTTGAAAAGATCTCCCTCTTGGAACGACAACTCCTCTTTAGCTCGTGCCTCAAAACCCCACAAAGCCTTGTAGATCGCGCTTTCCGTGGTCTGGGGCGGCTGGAGCGCCTCCCGGTGCACCTTGTTGCTCGTGAATGACTGCCCGCCATTGCCCGTGTCCTCCACACACTCGTCATCGACGATATCGTTCGAGATCCCCTCAACTTTGTGACGTCCAGAGTTGTTTTTGTCGCCAAACAGTCTGACCCATAGCGTCTCCAGGCAGGGGCATGTTTTGCGCAGACAGTCCCCCATATGAGAGCGGTGTCCGGGCTTTTGACGCGGCTAGACGCACTGCACCTTTTAGACAGGTAGTGGCTCGGTGCTCATGGAATTCTTGGAACGTGCCACACGTACAATAAGTAGCCTACTCTCTGTCAACGCTGGTTCTAAGCAGTGCTTCAAATAAATATCAACACAACTTCCTTGTAAATGCGCACCCCGCCTATCACGGTCTTGGGCGCCAGAACAGTCCAGAAAAGCGGGGGGGGGGGGAAAATTGCCATTTGAGCGCGGTAGCGGCTGCGGAGCGCGTCGCGACTGCACCGAAAATACTATTTGGGGGCCGGGCCCGCGGCAAGCAGACGAGAAAGAGACAGGGGACAAGAAGGCCGAGCAAGGCAAGAGCGAGGCGGGAGAAGCAGAGACCCCACCCTGATAAAACCCGCTACTCCTCGCTTATTGCACTCCTCAAACCTCAACCCCTAGACTCTCAGGTTACCCGCGCAGCAGCGGGCCGAGCGCGCTACTCCGAGCAGCTCTCGCCCAACGACCGAAGGAGAGAAAGAGCGAGAAGGGAAGAGAGAGGGGCGGAGAGCAGAGAGAGGAGGGACGCTAGAGGTTCGAAAGAAAAGCCGAAAGAATCACTCGACCACTCTATATTAGTGGGCAGGGGCCCTCTTCTCGAGCCCTTCTATCTTCCCTACGTCTTTTTCCCTTTCCTATCCCCTTCTCTCTCTCTCTATCTCTCCTCTCTCTCACACACACACCTAGTTTGTGTGATATACACTGAGTGTGAAAAACATTAAGAACAGCTTCCTAATATTGCCCTCAGAAAAGCCTCAATTCGTCGGGGCATGGACTCTACAAAGTATCGAAAGCGTTCCACAGGGATGCCGGCCCATGTTGAGTCCATTGCTTCCCACAGTTGTGTCAACTTGGCTGGATGTCCTTTGGGTGGTGGAACATTCTTTATACACATGGGAAACTGTTGAGCGTGAAAAACCCAGCAGATTGACACAAACCGGTGCGCCTGGCACCTACTACCATACCCCGTCCAAAGACACATACATATTTTGTCTTGCCCATTCACCCTCTGAATGGCACACATACACAATCCATATCTCGATTGTCTCATGGCTTAAAAATCCTTCTTTAACCTGTCTCTTCCCCTTCATTTACACTGATTGAAGTGGATTTAACAAGTGACATCAATAAGGGATCATAGCTTTCACCTGAATTCACCTGGTCAGTCTATGTCATGGAAAGAGCAGGTGTTCTTAATGTTTTGTACACTCAGTGTATAACAAATATTTTTTTAATATTGTATCATACTTGTGTCTATTCAGTAAATATTATGTCATAGGATTATAGCTACTTCCTTCTAAACGTCATCATTATTACAGTTATCAGGAAGTGGTCAGTCAAATTATAATTTCCCATGTGAAAATGAGTAGAATTGACGTAAATTAGCTGTTTTCCTTGCTGGGAACTGTATCCAGGGAGCTCACGAAACTACTCTACGCCACTGCCTCTCTGTGTTTTCCCGCCAGAGATCATATCAACATCTTAAAACATTTATCATTATCTTAAAGGGACTTTTAAATTAATGCATATACTGTACCCATTGATTCTTGAAGAATATTATTTATAAATGCCTCGTGAGCTTAGTTCAACTGTCATCCTCCATCAGAACCCAAAATAGAAGCTTGTTTTACTCCAATGTTTGTAAACTAAGTAAATGTAAACAAACTCTATATAGCCTCAAAACATGGTTAAAACTATAGTGTTGATATCGTAGATGATCAGTCCTTGCATTCATAGCTCTGTCTATGAATTTGAGAGTGGTTACATTTCTCCAGCACCGTCCCTCAGCTTTTTACCAAAACAGGTGTCCGCTTTGTTCTTGTTTGAACTGCAGAACTGCATGGGAAGTTTTATCATCTAGAAATCCTTTTCGTGTCATCAGTGCTCATCATAAGAAGTCGTATCAACATTTATTAAGTTCATTGTCCCACAAAATCCACCTGACACTAGGCTACAGAAAGAGAGTGTTGTTAAAGGTCAGTAAAAAAGGTTTGGACAGCTGAAATTAAGGTCTGAAAAGCACTCGCCCATCAGACAAGTCAGGAATATTTTGTGATTGCCGAAGAAGATTATGATCACTTGCCCGAAAATGTAAAGTAGCTATTTTCACCTTCACAGTGGGGAGGAACCAGAAACACCAGACTACTAGAATTGTTTACATTTTGGGTGCTATCAGTAAATAAACAAAACATCTCCTGCCCAACCACAGAGCAGGTTTAACTTGCTCGACTGCTCAAGTCACATGTCCCGGACAGTTGGACAACCATTAAGAAAATCCACTCAAAAACTATATTTTGGTCTTTTTTGTCATTAGTCCACTGTTGATACAGTCCCAGCATGTTCTGTATGTCAGCAGTCAAGTTTTCAAGATACGGTGCATTCAGAAAGTATTCAGATCCCTTGACTTTTTCCACATTTTGTTACGTTACAGCCTTATTCTAAAATTGATTAAATTGTTTTTTTTTCCCCTCATCAATCTGCACACAATACCCCATAATGACAAAGCAAAAACAGGTTTTTAGAAATGTTTGCAAATTTATGAAAAATAAAAAACGAAAATAACCATTTACATAAGTATTCAGACCTTTGTTAAAGCACCTTTAGCAGCGATTACTGCCTCGAGTCTTCTTGGGTATAATGCTACAAGCGTGGGAGTTTCTCCCATTCTTCTCTGCAGATCCACTCAAGTTCTGGCAGGTTGATGGGGAGTGACGCTGCACAGCTATTTTCAGGTCTCTCCAGAGATGTTTGATCGGGTTCAAGTCCGGGCTCTGGCTGGGCCACTCAAGGATATTCAGAGACTTGTCCCGAAGCCACTCCTGCATTGTCTTGGCTGTGTGCTTAGGGTTGTTGTCTTGTTGGAAGGTGAACCTTTGCCCCAGTCTGAGGTCCAGAGCGCTCTGGAGCAGGTTTTCATCAAGGATCTCTCTGTACTTTGCTCCGTTCATCTTTCCCTCGATCCTGACTAGTCTCACAGTCCCTGCCGCTGAAAAACATCCCCACAGCATGATGCTGCCACCACCATGCTTCCCCGTAGGGATGGTGCCAAGTGCCTTTTGGCAAACTCCAAGCGGGCTGTCATGTGCCTTTTACTGAGGAGTGGCTTCCGTCTGGCCACTCTACCATAAAGGCCTGATTGGTGGAGTGCTGCAGTGTTGGTTGTCCTTCTGGAAGGTTCTCCCATCACCACAGAGGAACTCAGAAGCTCTGTCCGAGTGACCATCGGGTTCTTGGTCACCTCCCTGACCAAGGCCCTTCTCCCCCGATTGCTCAGTTTGGCCGGGAGGCCAGCTCTAGGAAGAGTGTTGGTGGTTCCAAACTTCTTCCATTTAAGAATGATGGAGGCCACTGTGTTCTTGGGGACCTTCCCCAGATCTGTGCCTCGACACAATCCTGTCTCGGAGCTCTACGGAAAATTCATTTTATTAATATCGGTATTAATAGTCATATAGTCATACAGTCTATGGTTGTGTTCCTAAAGTCTATGGTTGTGGTTATACAGTCTGCTTGTGGTCCTATACGATATGGTTGTGTTCCTACAGTTTATGGTTGTGGTTATACAAGCTCACAGATGGCATCCAGGGCTTGTGGAAGTGAGAGCATGAATGAAGATTCACAATTCCTTCTTTCACGGCACCTGTGTGTGTTTTTAGCACCAATAGTCCTCTCACCATCACACTCCAGCTCGGTAGGTGGCGGTAATGCACCTTATGTGTTAGTTTACAAACCGCCAATCAAAGCGATGAAGAACATCTACCCGGAAGTGTTTAGTGCATGGGGTCGTTATCTCTCTGTGAAGCCATCTGCTAAAATGTCTAAGCTAACGTCTCTATTTGTAATCTTCTTTTCTTTATTTTTCATGAGTGAAGCTGTCTTCGAAGATCAAGTTGGCAAGTTCGATTGGTATGTAGCTATCTAACGTTGAGCATGTCCCATTGAGAATGTCCTATTGATTCGGCTATGCAGCTAGGTAACGTAAGCTAGTGCTATGTGCTAACCATTGACAGCGTCAAATATGGTTGATCATGGCGAAAAGACAGTAAGTAACCCTCTGAGGTCGGGTTCAGTCAATAGGTAGCCTTGTCATGTCTGTACCCGTATTGACAGTCGCTTGTTGGAATATATATCAAATCACTCACGAATGTAAATATCTTATTGGATTGCGTCCTCTTCTTTACTGGGGTCGAGGATCAATGCGGGAAGGAGACCCATCCCTCAGATCGGTCCAATCCGCTCCTTGTGACAGGTGTATTTGCCACAGATACTGAGTCTCAAAACACAGCAGTAACGAAGACGATGATGTACATTGGTGATTGATTAGCTAAAATATTTCAACAGAATACTAGGATTTCTCTGTGGGCTGCTTAGTCTGACTGTCAAATATTCTCTTTTCTATTTCCAGGAGACAACAGTATGTGGGTAAGACACTCTTTGCCCACTTTGACTCGCATTCGCAGTCATCTAAAAAGCTGTTTCTCGTTACCGACAAGAATATCTTTGCCTCTTTCAACTCCAGGACTGGAGATCTCAGTGAGTATTTGTCATTCGTATTACAATACAAATGTTTCTAGCTTTTTTCTTTTACTCCGAAATCTGTGACAAAATATTTAAAAAAATTTTGTTGTTGAATATCTTCCATAGAGTTCATTCTGTTTAATTCCTACTTTACAGTTTGGAGACATGTGGACAAGACTGGACCAGAGGGAGCCATAGACACACTTCTGCTGCATGGACAAGGTGACTATAGCATTTTAACAGTTAATTGTAGACTTGCCTAGTTTCTTGGCCTAGCCAATATAACCCGTGTTGTACGGAGTCAATTATATTGGCCTTATCTATGCCTACAGACGTGGTCAAAAGTTTTGAGAATGACACAAATATTAATTTTCACAAAGTCTGCTGCCTCAGTTTTTATGATGGCAATTTGCATATACTCCAGAATGTTATGAAGAGTGATCAGATGAATTGCAATTAATTGCAAAGTCCCTCTTTGCCATGAAAATGAACTTAATCCCCCAAAACACATTTCCACTGCATTTCTGCCCTGCCACAAAAGGACCAGCTGACATCATGTCAGTGATTCTCTCGTTAACACAGGTGATAGTGTTGATGAGGACAAGGCTAGAGATCACTCTGTCATGCTGATTGAGTTAGAATAACAGACTGGAAGCTTTAAAAGGAGGGTGGTGCTTGAAATCATTGTTCTTCCTCTGTTAACCATGGTTACCTGCAAGGAAACACGTGCCATCATCATTGCTTTGCACAAAAAGGGCTTCACAGGCAAGGATATTGCTGCTAGTAAGATTGCACCTAAATCAACCATTTATCGGATCATCAAGAACTTAAAGGAGAGAGGTTCAATTGTTGTGAAGAAGGCTTCAGGGCGCCCAAGAAAGTCCAGCAACCGCCAGGACGGTCTCCTAAAGTTGATTCAGCTGCGGGATCAGGGCACCACCAGTGCAGAGCTTGCCCAGGAATGGCAGCAGGCAGGTGTGAGTGCATCTGCACGCACAGTGAGGCAAAGACTTTTGGAGGATAATTCTGCAAAAGGTACAGGGATTGGACTGCTGAGGACTGGGGTAAAGTCATTTTCTCTGATGAATCCCCTTTCCGATTGTTTGGGGCATCCGGAAAAAAGCTTGTCTGGAGAAGACAAGGTGAGCGCTACCATCAGTCCTGTGTCATGCCAACAGTAAAGCATCCTGAGACCATTCATGTGTGGGGTTGCTTCTCAGCCAAGGGAGTGGGCTCACACAGCCATGAATAAAGAATGGTACCAACACATCCTCCGAGAGCAACTTCTCCCAACCAACCAAGAACAGTTTGGTGACGAACAATGCCTTTTCCAGCATGATGGAGCACCTTGCCATAAGGCAAAAGTGATAACTAAGTGTCTCGGGGAACAAAACATCGAATTTTTGGGTCCATGGCCAGGAAACTCCCCAGACCTTAATCCCATTGAGAACTTGTGGTCAATCCTCAAGAGATGGGTGGACAAACAAAAACCCACAAATTCTGACAAACTCCAAGCATTGATTATGCAAGAATGGGCTGCCATCAGTCAGGATGTGGCCCAGAAGTTAATTGACAGCATGCCAGGGCGGATTGCAGAGGTCTTGAAAAAGAAGGGTCAACACTGCAAATATTCACTCTTTGCATAAACTTAATGTAATTGTCAATAAAAGCCTTTGACACTTATGGAATGCTTGTAATTATACACTGCTCAAAAAAATAAAGGGAACACTAAAATAACACATCCTAGATCTGAATGAATGAAATCATCTTATTAAATACTTTTTTCTTTACATAGTTGAATGTGCTGACAACAAAATCACACTAAAATTATCAATGGAAATCATATTTATCAACCCATGGAGGTCTGGATTTGGAGTCACCCTCAAAATTAAAGTGGAAAACCACACTACAGGCTGATCCAACTTTGATGTAATGTCCTTAAAACAAGTAAAAATGAGGCTCAGTAGTGTGTGTGGCCTCCACATGCCTGTATGACCTCCCTACAACGCCTGGGCATGCTCCTGATGAGGTGGCGGATGGTCTCCTGAGGGATCTCCTCCCAGACCTGGACTAAAGCATCCGCCAACTCCTGGACAGTCTGTGGTGCAACGCCACGTTGGTGGATGGAGCGAGACATGATGTCCCAGATGTGCTCAATTGGATTCAGGTCTGGGGAACGGGCGGGCCAGTCCATAGCATCAATGCCTTCCTCTTGCAGGAACTGCTGACACACTCCAGCCACATGAGGTCTAGCATTGTCTTGCATAAGGAGGAACCCAGGGCCAACCGCACCAGCATATGGTCTCACAAGGGGTCTGAGGATCTCATCTCGGTACCTAATGGCAGTCAGACTACCTCTGGCGAGCACATGGAGGGCTGTGCGGCCCCCCAAAGAAATGCCACCCCACACCATGACTGACCCACCGCCAAACCGGTCATGCTGGAGGATGTTGCAGGCAGCAGAACGTTCTCCACGGCGTCTCCAGACTCCGTCACGTCTGTGACATGTGCTCAGTGTGAACCTGCTTTAATCTGTGAAGAGCACAGGGCGCCAGTGGCGAATTTGCCAATCTTGGTGTTCTCTGGCAAATGTCAAACGTCCTGCACTGTGTTGGGCTGTAAGCACAACCCCCACCTGTGGACGTCGGGCCCTCATACCACCCTCATGGAGTCTGTTTCTGACCGTTTGAGCAGACACATGCACATTTGTGGCCTGCTGGAGGTCATTTTGCAGGGCTCTGGCAGTGCTCCTCCTGCTCCTCCTTGCATAAAGGCGGAGGTAGCAGTCCTGCTGCTGGGTTGTTGCCCTCCTACGGCCTCCTCCACGTCTCCTGATGTACTGGCCTGTCTCCTGGTAGCGCCTCCATGCTCTGGACACTACGCTGACAGACACAGCAAACCTTCTTGCCACAGCTCGCATTGATGTGCCATCCTGGATGAGCTGCACTACCTGAGCCACTTGTGTGGGTTGTAGACTCCGTCTCATGCTACCACTAGAGTGAAAGCACCGCCAGCATTCAAAAGTGACCAAAACATCAGCCAGGAAGCATAGGAACTGAGAAGTGGTCTGTGGTCACCACCTGCAGAACCACTCCTTTATTGGGGGTGTCTTGCTAATTGCCTATAATTTCCACCTGTTGTCTATTCCATTTGCACAACAGCATGTGAAATGTATTGTCAATCAGTGTTGCTTCCTAAGTGGACAGTTTGATTTCACAGAAGTGTGATTGACTTGGAGTTACATTGTGTTGTTTTAAGTGTTCCCTTTATTTTTTTGAGCAGTGTACTTCACTATACCATAGTAACATCTGACAAAAATATCTAAAAACACTGAAGCAGCAAACTTTGTGAAGACCAATACTTGTGTCATTCTCAAAACGTTTGACCACGACTGTATGTTAATCTTTAAGATTCTGCCTTGATCTTTGACAGAGGATATTTGAATGACTGTTTTACGTCTAGATGCTCTGATGGTGGTTGGAGATGGTCGTCTGCTCCGTTCCTGGGACACAAACATTGGCGGGCTGAACTGGGAGGCCGTGCTGGATACTGGCAGGTGCGGGGGGTGTGGTGTCTCTGTGTTCGTGTGCAGATGACCTGTTCCCCATTTAACTGAAATGTATAGCTGAGAGATAGTCAATGGACAATGATTTTAGAGATTTTGACAGATGACTAACTGCTCATAATGTCCATCTCTATTTCAGCTTCCAGGCTGCGTGTTTTGTGGCAGTACAGGACACCGTAAAGCATGTGGCAGTGCTTAAGAAAGCTGCCATCTCTCTCCACTACCTCTCCAATGGACACCAGAAATGGGTGGAGAACCTGCCTGACATGTAGGTACAGTAGGAGACTGGTACTCAGACCTGGGACCAAACACTATCTGTTTTCTTTCAGATACATTAGCCGATGCAATGGAAACAATACAAATGGGCCCAAAAGTTCAAGCCCTGCACATCTGGCACTCCAGAAAGGCTCCAACAAACGGTCAAAGTATCTGAAAGATTTCAAATGCTGTTTTGAATCCAGGTCTTCAGCATTTAGGTGCTAGACTATTATTTTAATCTTAGGGCTTTGCAGTTGAAAAGCTGATCTAAGTCTTTGTGCCCACAGTGATACGGTCCAGTACCAGGCAGTGTACTCTGGGGGAGAAGAGGAGGTCTATGTGTTAGGGGTGGTTCCTAACTCTCACCTCACTATCATAGCCTACAGCCTAGAGGATGGAGAGATCATCAAGCAGGTAAATGGTAAGAATCTAGGTGTACATCATCAAATGTGATGGTTATAAAATATTAATCTATGTCTGTACAAGCTTTTTGAGGTATGTCGGGTCAAGGGCTTGTGTGTTGGGTTAGGGTGTTGTGTCTGGTCAGGGCTGGTAGTTGGGTCAGGGTGTGTTGTCTGGGTCAGGGCTGGTGTGTCTGGGTCAGGGCTGTGTTGTCTGGGTCAGGGCTGTTTTGTGTCTGGGTCAGGGCTGTGTGTGTCTGGGTCAGGGATGTGTGTTGGTAGGTGTGTGTGTTGGGTCAGGGCTGTGTGATGTATGGGTCAGGGCTGTGTGTGTCTGGGTCAGGGCGGGTGTGTGTCTGGGTCAGGGCGTGTGTTGTCTGGGTCAGGGCTGTGTGTGTTGGGCAGGGGGGGTGTTGTCAGGGATGTGTGTGTGTCTGGGTCAGGGCTGTGTGTGTTGGGTCAGGGCTGTGTGTCTGGGTCAGGGCTGTGTGTGTCTGGGTCAGGGCTGTGTGTGTCTGGGTCAGGGCTGTGTGTGTCTGGGTCAGGGCTGTGTGTGTCTGGGTCAGGGCTGTGTGTGTCTGGGTCAGGGCTGTGTGTGTCTGGGTCAGGCTGGTGTGTCTGGGGGCTGTGTGTGTCTGGGTCAGGGCTGTGTGTGTCTGGGTCAGGGCTGTGTGTGTCTGGGTCAGGGCTGTGTCGACCTGGCCATACTCATATCGTAGATTAATAGTTGATAGTCGGATCAGATCTGATGATACTTGTGATCAGAAAACTCGGAAGTGTTTTGATATGCCTAAGTAGAAAATACTGATCTCCCTGCACAGTTATAGACCAAACAAGCTGCAGATTAGGAGCAGCGCGCAGAGGGATGTTTGTCTGTCTGTGTGTGTCTGACCTCTGTCTGACCTCTCTCTGTGTGTAGACAAGGGTGCTATCAGTCCGAAAGCGCGTCGGCGTTTCATATATTTTCCCTACCCTCGCCCCGCTTGTTAGATATTATGCACATTGTATAATATATCACTCAATATATAGTAATATAATACTAATAAGTGCCCTGTAGCTCAGTTGGTAGAGCATGGCGCTTGCAACACCAGGGTTGGGGGTTCGTTTCCCACGGGGGGGCCAGTATGAAAAATGTATGCACTCACTAACTGTAAGTTGCTCTGGATAAGAGCGTCTGCTAAATGACTAAAATGTACAAATGTAAAAATATTATGCTCATTGATAGCAAACGTCCTCACCATGTGGTTTATCATAGTAGCAGGCTAGCAGGAGGCAGCAGCAGGCTGAATGATCAGACCCAAACAGAGAAGTGAAAGTGATCGTGTGAAATTACGAAGCGACGCGAGTGAACGGAGGAATACAGCTTCGCTGTATCCAATCAGAGCATCAGGATCAACGTACAGCCCGCCCTTCTCTTTACAGACAAGCAAACTAGCCAGTTGAGTTATTTAGACCACGTAGCACCTGTTGATGATCACAAGTTTACTGGAGAACGGAGACCAAGTAGAGACTTTCGGACAAGGTGGATAATTGTATAATATAAGGCAGTTTATTCAGAGGTAAAGATATCTGTAAATAGCGTGCACGGACCCGTTCGTCAATCTCGTAGGGAGATATCTGAGAGCGAGCCCCTAAACATTGTGTGCTGACATTTTATACAATAAAATGAAGTAGGTTGATTCTAGCAGTTCTGATCTTCTGATTGGTCCTGATGAGTTGGGCGAGGTCACCTCCAGGCTAGTGTCACTGTTGCATTGGCTCTGAGTCGGGTTCTCTGTCTTCAGATGTTCAGCCTAAGAGAAGGGGGTTTTTGTGTGTGTGTGTGCTTAACAATGATGATGTGTGTGTGTGTGTGTGTGCGTGTGTGTATGTGTGTGTGTGTGTGTGTGTGTGTGTGTGTATGTGTGTGTATGTTTAACAATGATGATGTGTGTGTGTGTGTGTGTGTGTGTGTGTGTGTGTGGGGGTGTGGTGTGTGTGTGTCCTCAGAGCAAGAACTCGTGAGTTGGGAGAACTGAGAGACCTATGGCGTGGGTGTGTCCA